AGGGGTCAACCAGCCCAGTTCAGCTCGTCGCCACCTGCTCCCTCCTCCTTTGATGGCGAAGCCAGGTTACTGAGGCAATGCAGCGCCCTCTAGCCAACCTAGGGCCGTGTACATAGTTCCCGTCCACCTTCTGACGGTGTCTGCCTCCGCGCACAAAAAATGAGATGGGCATCGCTGCCTACGCCGACGGCCAGAGGCCCGCGCATCTACATTTTTTCGCCTGACCCCATCAGTGCCGACCCAACTACACCACCACGCGCATGATTCGTTGTTTTCTGGATATATAATGAATGTATTATTGGTAAACAACACTGTGCCCATGCACAACCATAGCTACCCACTTGGTCTAGAATGGTTACCGATGCTTATGTTGTATTCTAATATCGGGAAAAAGAATACTTCTCATGATGAACAATGTGAACTCGGCGAACAGCTACGGAAACTCGACGGTAAGCACGAACGTGTAATAGAGAATATCAACAACAACATCGACTCTTTGATACAAAATAGAGACTTGAAGCTATCCAAGGATGACATGGAGGATCTCAAAAGCAGAATCGTTCTGAAGCTCGGTGAGGTTGCTTCAAATAGAGGATGTGAGTCGGGTCCTGTCGTCTGCACTTCTCAAACAATTGAGTTTGACGAAGCTGCCAAGCAAGTGCTACGCGACGTGGTGAGAAAAGAGATAGAAGGTGTGCGACCCGCTTCTGGAAACGATACTGCTATCAATGATGTCAAACTGGAACTAGCTACCTTGTCGCAAACAACATCGAATGGATTTCATGAGTTGCGGCAACTGCTCACCCCCAGTGACACTCATGGACTAGAGATGATTTCAGTACCGGAACCAGTACCGGAACCAGCACCGAAAGGGTATGATCCGTCGTTATACTCATTGGGGATTGAGAATGTCAAAGGACTGTTTGAAACAGAGGATTCGCAGTTGGATATCGAGACTCTAAATGATTTGACTGTATACCGAACTGTTAAATCGTTCTCTGAGTATAGAAGACGTGCCACTCGTCTCGACAACGAAGTCATAGAGATCAAAACTATCCGAGAACTGGTGCTTAAACGAGTAGATTTGCTGGTGGAAAGGTGGGAGAAGCAGCCAGAGGCTAAACGATCACAAGAGGAACAAATCACTGGCATTGGTCTCATTTAGAGAAGTAAAAAAACACCACCGCAGACAGTGGCGAAAGAAAGAGGAGAAGCTCTTACCAAAGAGATGGAAAGCAAGATACAGCAGGTGACTGACCGAGTTCCTACCGAACTGCTACCCATAGATATCCTCCGATACTTTCATAGCATGATTAATTTGTGGACTAAGTTGAACCCAATCTAGAAATAGGATTTCTTCTTCTCGCAGGTCGACTTTTCCAATTATTTTCGACAGGGTGCCCCGTGGTACGTGCAGCATTTCTCGCGGATCGTATGTCATCCGGCAATGGCACATATTCATTGCTCTCTTTTCCACTAAATGGGCGCATGATCCAACTCGCGACCTTTTTGGGAAATTCAGAACTTGCTAAAAGAGCCCCATAAAAGGATTCTGTAGCATATGTGACACCAACCCATACGACCAAGTGGACGGCTTCCAACGGCAGAACCATAGTGAGTCCCGAAATACCCACAAGGAGATGTAACATGTTCGCCACGGATTTTTTCTGTGTACCGTTGTAATGTCCTGGTATGAAGTTGAATATAATTCTACAGATCAGACAGATCACAGCGTACATGAGGAGGTGCCAACTAACAACATGCTCGTGTCTGTAAAAGAAACGCTCTCCCCGTACAGCGCCCATGATGCTTCTCCCACCTTGAACTTCCATACAAAGCGAGACATCGTGGGCGAACCTTATGGTGTCTGCGACTCGCATACCATGCACGTCTTCAACGTGATCCTTTAAAATTACCCTTGAAAAGTTCTCAAAGTAACTTTTCCGATCCGCGAAGCTTTTAATCGAGTCACCAACATCCATAAAGAACTTCCAAATAAAGCTCCCAATCCCAAGAGGAAACCGATCGGAGCTACCATGCTGCGCCTTTCTCGCATGATAAGCATGAAAAATGTCAGGATAGGTTCCGTTCTCCACTATCAATGCAGCACACGTGACAGCAGCCCTCGCCATTTTATTCCGATTTCTATCGTTCGAATCTCGAGCCTGTTCGAACGCTTTCCACCCATCTACGTTGTCCCCTGCAACTTCATCGATTGAAGATGCTAGTTTGGGTGTCGCCAGATCGTGTAGATGTGCGAGAGCTGTGTTTGCGAGTAGAGTAGTGGTATGGATGGTGTCTGTTGCCAGACAAGTGCCTTCTTCACTGGAACATACAGTGTATTCCCGTCGTATGCCATGGAGTGTATCCAATTGTTTCAACAAAGTGTCCAGCGCGCTCTGACCCTTCTCGCTGGCGAGGCGTTCCCTGTGATTGATCAGGTCGGCGAACAGATCGCTTATTCGACCGAACAAACCACTACCCTTCGTCGTGGCTAGGGATTCAAAAACCGCTATTGTGACATTTTTACGGTGGAATAAATTATCAGAGTTCCCGAATACAACGTGACACAAATCGACGCCATTCTTCTGAATAACCGATTCGGGTGATTCCTTGAAATCGACAACTTTGCCGAGGTTCGCAAGGTCTTCCGTTTCCCGCTGCACGTTTTCATGCGTCTCCACAACAGAGGCCGGTGCATCACCCAGGTACGAGACATCAATCGAGTCATCACCGACAAAATGGAGGTGTCCTCTACTGGCTTTTTCAATGAGCAAATCCGGGCTGAGTACCATGGCAACTTTATTTCCCGACTCCCGCCCAAGAATAAATTCTATGTTGTCGATTTCTACTCTTGAGGTGTAGTCTTTTACAGTGTAAATCACTGCGGTAGTGCTAAAGGTAGCATCACCTTTGACAGAACCCTCTAGACAATGTCCATGGGAAAACGCTAAAGAATATACGAACGCACTAGCCCAACCAATGAGTCCAGGTTTTTGTTTGATCTCACGTCTTCAAGAACCACACTCATAAATTCATTTATCTTCTCAATGTCTTCCGGGGTATATTCCAATTCCACGCCGTCCTTCAATGCGTACTGAAACCGAAACGGGGTGGACGAATCATGGTATATCTCCGCGTATATGAAAATACCGTTAGCCTTCAGTATGCTGGATACTATATCCCATGTCGTCGCCCACGAAACATCCTTGCCAAGTGTGGCGAGCATAGCTAAATCACGTCTACCGTCGTCAAACTCTCTTACCTCTGGCTTACCAGTGTGCATTTTGATCGACATGCGTGGGTACCGAGCCTCTAGATTTTTCCCTACCTCGAACAACTCTTGATTTGTGCGACTGCCCGGATCCAAGAAATACTCAATATCGTTGGTTCCTGGTGCAGCCAATTGTTGCAGAAAGGGTGCCGATGAAAGCCATTTTCTTACGCTGGCAGAGGAGAGATCATCGGGAGACACATGTACACTAGTTTCAAACCGAGGCAAACACACTTTCACAATGAGTTGCCATGTGAGATCGATAAATTCCTGTGTCGTTTCGACAAGGTGAACCCTTTCCGATTGATCTTTGTATATCGGGTACTTGATTGTGTGCATGACATGGGCGTCGGCGATGACTTCAATAAAATCGGGTGGTATTATATCCGGAGAAATTGTTGCAAACGACTTCCAATTATGGGAAAGAAAAACTTTGACAGCCAATTTATTAAACAAAATCTGCGCATTGAATACATCCTTATCGCTTTCGTTGGGTTCTGGAAAAACCGTGGACCCTAGTCCAATGTCTGGTTTCTTGAGCTCGCGTCGGAAATAGTCGAGAGTGACGTCGGTCATACGCTCCTTCGCGTTTCGCCCCAGACTCTCATTCAATTCATCCATAGCGTTCTTTACAACATCTAAATATAATAAAAACGCTTTTTTGCAAATCTGACAACGTGTTACAAGCGCCACATCATTCAACGTCACTTGATATACCTGTTCAAGTAAGTTCGCATGTGAGTGCTGAATTTTTCAGCCACTGCCGGGAACGAACCAACGAAATAATTCAGTTCCGACGACGCTAATTTCTTAACGTACCGGGCGAGAGGGCCACGCCTTACAAAAAACTATTATACCAATTCCAATACAACTGATGGTTCTCTACATTACAGAATCCAAAGATCCGACCGCCATCGTCCTGTCCTACATCATCTATGATTCCGTTGCTGGATCCTTCTAAATATGGACATCCAGGGGTAGGCCCCAAAGGCCTTCTACTCCTTCCGGGCGCTATATCTTGTCACTAATATCAACTTAAGAAAACCGGAACTATTAAGTTGTAGTGAACAAAAACAGATAGAAACAACTAAGTTGTCTCCTCAAGGGTCCAGCTTTTAGGGTTTTTTAAACCTCGGAATATCCCACTGTTTCCAGGCAAGTTGTTTGTTGAAACTTCAGTTGCGAAAGCTTGTCGTCGATTCTTCGTAGCGTGTCGACTTTGTAGACCTCATGTAGCAGGGTTGTGATGTCGGCCTTCTTCTTCCTCTTCTTTTTCTTCGTCGTCTTCGATTTTGTAATGGTGGTTGCCATGGTGAAGGTGAATTGTGAGCAGCGTGGGCGATCAATACACTCCAATGTTTACATATAAAATTGAAGCATGTGGTCTTTCTTCGAGAACGTTTCGAGTTGGTAAGATTCGTCAAATTGTTCTAGAAACTCTTAACTTGATAACAGTGATATCTTGTGGGTAAGCCTTCAATAAAATCGGGTGGTATTATATCCGGAGAAATTGTTGCAAACGACTTCCAATTATGGGAAAGAAAAACTTTGACAGCCAATTTATTAAACAAAATCTGCGCATTGAATACATCCTTATCGCTTTCGTTGGGTTCTGGAAAAACCGTGGACCCTAGTCCAATGTCTGGTTTCTTGAGCTCGCGTCGGAAATAGTCGAGAGTGAAGCTGGCACGCGCCGCCCACACTCTGCGCAATCTCTTCTGTCCCGCTCGTGTTCGCGAGGGAGGAGAGATAGAGAGAGAGAGAGAGAGAAGAGCGCCAGAGGCAAGCAGCGACCGCAGCAGCAGCAACAGCAGCAGCAGCAGCAGCAGCAGCTACGACGGCCCCACGGCCGCCGGGCACCGCGCAAGGTAAGCGGCGGACGTGTGAGTGTGTGTTGTTTTTAGAGATTTTGCATTTGAGTGGCACACAGCTCTCTCCAAATGAGCGTGTGGTGTCCACCTCACGCGATGCCTGGCGGCCAAGGGCACCCGGACTCACGCACACGCGTTGACACCAGGAGCCTGCTGTGTAATTGTCTTGTAGGGTGTCTCGGGTGGGCCTCGGGTTGCCTTCCCCACATTCTCTCTGTTTCGGAGCGAGGCAGCTGCTTTGTACTTAACCCTTACGTGACTGGGTTAATTTGACTTTTTTTGTTTTTTCCCCCTCAACTGGCTCTCTGCGGTCAAAGATCTTCCAAGCATGCGTGTACACCCATAAATCACGGCGGCAAGGATGGTGCAGCAGTCACTATTGGCAACTTTAGAAAAATCGACTATAAAGTATCATCCGCAAGTGAAAATCCGGAAAAATCCTTAAAACCACACCTGACCGAGCAATTGGCCGAAACCACGCATACCGATGTTAGTCGACCCTACGTTGTCGCGATCCATTTCAAACTCTGGTGTCAGGCGGTGAAGTCTACAGGACTCTTCCGGTGATCCGATCTTAAAGTTTTTGCAACTCCGGATTCTCCGTTCTTTGTCCTCGACTGTGTCCTCTCCACACCCCGGGCACTTTTTGGAAGTATTGTACTCGTTCACCATCAACACCACGCCTCTGCTGGCCATCTCTCTAATCAAAGCTTTCCTTGGGGCAGATGCCCTTCCTTTCTGCGCACGAAAAGACGCTTTACCGAACAACATGATCCTGCAAGTGTCTTCTACGTGTCCCATGTACCTGTCCGCTATCTTGGCGAGTGTCTTCTGCGTAGCTCTGAAACGATCAAACCTCATGAACTTCCTTCCTGTCTGCAAAGTCTCTAGGAATAACGCCGGACCATTTGCACACCAACTTTTGCAGTACTGGATGAACGTTGCGAGGCAGGAAGTTCTTTTCTTCTCGTTGCTAAGACGATCGATGGCTACTCCGTACGGCTGGTCCTTGCGCCTGAAAGTCTCGTACTTGTCTGAACGTGATGCAAGAGTATCACGACGATAATTGTCCCCGAACACACACGTGGAAGTTTTGAGGATGACGTCAGGGTCTTGCTTCGCCCAAGTGCTAGCCGTAGCCGAAGAAACGTTTATCACCTTGGCCTGGCCCGGGTCCGCGGACATCACGACGACGTCTTCCCTGATGCTTGTCGACTCCAAAAGGCTGGATATGTTGTACACCCCTCTTCCCTCTTTCAAGAGGCTTTCTAGCTGAGCGTTAGCCCGGGGCAGTTTGTTGTACCCCTCCTCGTTCAGCTCGCTGGACCCGGAAAAAGCTTTCCTTCCGTGTTCTAGTGTCACAAGCAGAAGCTTGATCTGTACACCGTCCGTCAAGAAACTCTGGCCAATCATCCAGGGGCACTTGTCCGGACCACTTCCTAGCAGACTCGAGAGGTAGCCATGCTCGCTTGTAGCCCGTCTCACTCTACGTACTCTCTCGTGGCGGGTTGCGCTGCTGGGGGAGCTATGTTTTTGAGCCAGTCGCTCTCTCCGAAAAAATAGCAATGTTCATCGTGTCATCGTTTTCCCGACTCATCACTCCATTTTCGTATCTGAAACGAAATTTGCTAAAATAACGCGCTTCGTAATCGCTAGGAACACCAAAAATGGAAATCAAGCCCGGGGAAAAGCTACTTCACGTCGTGATGAAGCATCGAACAGCCGATTCAGCCAAATGGGCAACACCGGTAAGAGGTTCATAATTGGAGCAAGACACACACCGTCTTGCTCTTAAGCAGAAAGCGAGACACAATCCGTCTTGCGCGTAGGCAGAGAGCAAGGCACAACCCGTCTTGCTCAAAGGCGGAAAGCAGGAACACAGCGCCTTGCTTGTAGGGGAAGACACACACCGTCTTGCTCGTGGGCAGAGAGCAAGAGACAACCCGTCTTGCTCTGGCAGAGAGCAAGGCAAACACCATCTTGCTCGTACACACACACACACACGAGCATGAAGCTATGACCGCCTGGATGTGCTGCCACATGTTTCGTGTTCTTGAATCCCGCCTCGCATGTACGCCTGTCCACGGGAGTACCTCTGGTTCTTGAGAGGATGCGGTCACGGACCATGCAACGTGCGGTGACACACACAGACTTGGCATAGACGATGCAACATGGCCTCACGCGTATGTTATCCGTGGGAATACCTCTCTCTCTGTGGTCCCGCGAGGTTGTGTCACACACACACACACGAGCATGAAGCTATGACCGCCTGGATGTGCTCGTAGGCAGAAAGCAAGACACAACCCGTCTTGCTCAAAGGCAGGAAGCAGGAACACAGCGCCTCGCTCGTAGCGCAAGACACACACCTTTTTGCCCTTAGGCAGAAAGCGAGACACAACCCGTTTTGCTTCAAGGCAGGAAGCAGAAACACAGCGCCTTGCTCGTAGGGAAAGACACACACCGTCTCGTTCGTAGACAGAAAGCAAGACACAACCCGTTTTGCTTGAAGGCAGAGAGCAAGACACAACCCGTCTTGCTCGTAGACAGAGAGCAAGACACACACCGGCTTGCTCGTAGACAGAGAGCAAGGCACACACCGCCTTGCTCTTAGGCATACAGGAAGACACACACCGTCTTTCGTAGACAGAGAGCAAGACACAAGCCAATCATCCAGGGGCACTTGTCCGGACCACTTCCTAGCAGACTCGAGAGGTAGCCATGCTCGCTTGTAGCCCGTCTCACTCTACGTACTCTCTCGTGGCGGGTTGCGCTGCTGGGGGAGCTATGTTTTTGAGCCAGTCGCTCTCTCCGAAAAAATAGCAATGTTCATCGTGTCATCGTTTTCCCGACTCATCACTCCATTTTCGTATCTGAAACGAAATTTGCTAAAATAACGCGCTTCGTAATCGCTAGGAACACCAAAAATGGAAATCAAGCCCGGGGAAAAGCTACTTCACGTCGTGATGAAGCATCGAACAGCCGATTCAGCCAAATGGGCAACACCGGTAAGAGGTTCATAATTGGAGCAAGACACACACCGTCTTGCTCTTAAGCAGAAAGCGAGACACAATCCGTCTTGCGCGTAGGCAGAGAGCAAGGCACAACCCGTCTTGCTCAAAGGCGGAAAGCAGGAACACAGCGCCTTGCTTGTAGGGGAAGACACACACCGTCTTGCTCGTGGGCAGAGAGCAAGAGACAACCCGTCTTGCTCTGGCAGAGAGCAAGGCAAACACCATCTTGCTCGTACACACACACACACACGAGCATGAAGCTATGACCGCCTGGATGTGCTGCCACATGTTTCGTGTTCTTGAATCCCGCCTCGCATGTACGCCTGTCCACGGGAGTACCTCTGGTTCTTGAGAGGATGCGGTCACGGACCATGCAACGTGCGGTGACACACACAGACTTGGCATAGACGATGCAACATGGCCTCACGCGTATGTTATCCGTGGGAATACCTCTCTCTCTGTGGTCCCGCGAGGTTGTGTCACACACACACACACGAGCATGAAGCTATGACCGCCTGGATGTGCTCGTAGGCAGAAAGCAAGACACAACCCGTCTTGCTCAAAGGCAGGAAGCAGGAACACAGCGCCTCGCTCGTAGCGCAAGACACACACCTTTTTGCCCTTAGGCAGAAAGCGAGACACAACCCGTTTTGCTTCAAGGCAGGAAGCAGAAACACAGCGCCTTGCTCGTAGGGAAAGACACACACCGTCTCGTTCGTAGACAGAAAGCAAGACACAA